CCCAGCAGATAGCCAGGATGGAGCCGGAGGAATGAGCCAGTGAGGCTCCTGCCAAACAGGAACCCAGGCGGGCAACCAGAGCAGAGCCGGAATCCTGCCAGGCAACACTGGTGGGACAGAAAACCCTTTCAGCGACACTTACAGGGAAAACTGTAAACAAGAGCAGAGAGAGTTTAGTACCAGCCTCGACGGCTGCAACAGGACAGGCCGATTGCTCCGCAACGGTCCCTGTGAGCTCCCGGACTGGAGCGGGCTCAGGAGTGGACCCTGTGAGCTCCCGGACTGGAGCGGGCTCAGGAGTGGACCCTGTGAGCTCCCGGACTGGAGCGGGCTCAGGAGTGGACCCTGTGAGCTCCCGGACTGGAGCGGGCTCAGGAGTGGACCCTGTGAGCTCCCGGACTGGAGCGGGCTCAGGAGTGGACCCTGTGAGCTCCCGGACTGGAGCGGGCTCAGGAGTGGACCCTGTGAGCTCCCGGACTGGAGCGGGCTCAGGAGTGGACCCTGTGAGCTCCCGGACTGGAGCGGGCTCAGGAGTGGACCCTGTGAGCTCCCGGACTGGAGCGGGCTCAGGAGTGGACCCTGTGAGCTCCCGGACTGGAGCGGGCTCAGGAGTGGACCCTGTGAGCTCCCGGACTGGAGCGGGCTCTGGAGTGGACTCTGTGAGCTCCCGGACTGAAGCGTGCTCTGGAGTGGACCTTGTGAGCTCCCGGACTGGAGTGAGTTCCTTAATGAGCTCTGTGGGCTCCTGGACTGGAGCTGGCTCTGAAGTGGACTCTGTGAGCTCCCGGCCTGGAGCGACTTCCTTAATGAGCTCTGTGGGCGCCTGGACTGGAGCGGACTCTGAAGTGGACTCTGTGAGCTCCCGGATTGGAGTGGACTCTGGTTTGGGATCTGTGAGCTCCCGGACTGGAGCGGGCTCTGGAGTGGACCCTGTGAGCTCCCGGACTGGAGCGGGCTCTGGAGTGGACTCTGAGCTCCCGGACTGGAGCGGGCTCTGGAGCGGGCTCGTGCGCTTGCGCGTGAGTGAAGGCTTACAATGACTTACAAAGATACATAACAGCTACAAGTGTATGCACTACTTGCTTTATGCAAGCGCTATATAGGATAAATCACTATACAGGATTACCATTTTATACTTTATCGACACGAATTGATGAATTGTTATTGAAGTGAATTAGGTTTAAATCGCCGTCATGCATGAATGAATATTTTTGCAATTTAACACATAATAATCCACAATGATCACATTACACAAAACTGAAATTGCACGTCAAAATAACACATTGTCAATATTTTTTGAGACCCCCCAAAATTTCACAGATCACGTTTTCAGGGGAGCCCATGTCTTATTAAGGGGAGCCGAGCTCCCCCTAGCTCCCCCGTAGTTCGCACCCTGAGTCCAGGGCACCACAACCAGACACTGTGACATTAATTTAGCAGTAAAGTTGAACTGTTTGGGGTGTATTTATGGCTGTATTTATAAAGAAATGTGTCAAATCGATTGAGAAAACCTGTAAAAGCATTTGCTTGTTGATGTTTATTTTATTATTTTAGTGCTGTTTATTTTGTGTACAGTGCTATGAGAAGTCAATTTAAAGACGCTTTATAGAATACGTTTATTATTATTATTATTATTATTATTATTTACTAAATAGTAGGCTAAATGAGCATAAATTATAATAAATAGCCTACTACTATTACCATAGACTACATAATAAAGTAGGCCTAATTTATATTTCTTCTAAAAACATTTTCTTTTATTTTTTCAGTGTTTAAACTTTCTTAATTTTACATTTAAAAATATGAATGAAACGTGGAACCTGCGCTGCGTGCATCAGTCAAACCAAGCCTGCTGGTTTACAGAGGATGCTGCTGCGATCAGCGCGGTAAAGACAGTTGTCACATACGTACGCGCAGCCGTTAGTACGGATGACACTATTGGTCCAGCAGCATAACGCCATGGGGGGCGGATTCTCATTGGGTGACAGCTGCTTAATCCGAGAGCTCAACATTTTGTAACATCTCCAGTTTAAGCGTTTATTTATGGATTTACGCTGGGAGAGACAATACACGCGAACGTGAAACGATTGACAAGATCTGGAGGAGTCGTCTAAATCCTCAGTAGCGTGAGAACGTGAGTAAATTAGCTTTCATGATATTTCCATGTTGAGACAGTGATGAATGAACAACACCATGTGAGAGTATGATAACTGTGTGTAAAGGGATGCAGAAGGAGAAGCACTGGCTAGACAGTAGCCTATCTCAAACCACAGGCAGCCATATGGCTGATGAAACACTCTGTCTCGGTAGGTCTGGTTATTAGCCTACACTGTACTAAATGCTCAGACATGAAGTGCAGTGCAGACGACAAAGACTCATAAATTAGTCTGGACTGCGTATTTTCTCCACCTGTTTGCAGCATGCCAATGGAGACACATGCTCGTATAAACACAAACCACAGGTCGCTTCATGACACACATCCTAAAATATAGCTATTATAGCGTTTTACAGTATATTGGTGATATATCGACTAACGGTGATTTTAATGTGTTATGTCAAATAGCGTGACGTTTAATCCTCAAAAAGCTTCAGTATGGGCGTAAGGAATGAGAGTATGGGTAGGCTACACAATATAACCGTTTGTTCCTCTGAACAGCGTCAATACGGTTTCCAACATCAGATAGGCTATTTGAGGACAACATTTTGCGATGTCCGAATCTCGAATGAAACGTTCGTTCATTTGAACCGGATCGCGCAATTTATATTTATGTAATATATTCATATTTAAATTTATTTTATATGTAGTCAAAACAAAAGATTTTTTATTAGATATATAGGACAATTATGAGGGTTAAAATTAATTAGCCTAATGAAGGCTAAAAGTTGACTAAAATGTTACATTACTCCCTTTTCTACATTCAGAATATTAATGCTGATAAAAAATAGTTAATACGCTGACTCTATCACAGTCATTCAATCACTCCTTATGACTAAGCTTTGAATGCACTCCTCTCCTCTAGAAACTAGGGCTGCACGATAAATCGCATGCAATATTTAACGCGCATCTTGTCAGAAAGCCGGTTCTGTAATCAGCGGTAAATCTCCATCACGTGCGTGCTTTCACCTTGAGCAGCATTAACTACACAGAGCCGTTGTTCACTGACACATGCTCGTATAAACACAAACCACAGGTCGCTTCATGACACACATCCTAAAATATAGCTATTATAGCGTTTTACAGTATATTGGTGATATATCGACTAACGGTGATTTTAATGTGTTATGTCAAATAGCGTGACGTTTAATCCTCAAAAAGCTTCAGTATGGGCGTAAGGAATGAGAGTATGGGTAGGCTACACAATATAACCGTTTGTTCCTCTGAACAGCGTCAATACGGTTTCCAACATCAGATAGGCTATTTGAGGACAACATTTTGCGATGTCCGAATCTCGAATGAAACGTTCGTTCATTTGAACCGGATCGCGCAAACGGTCTTGTTCACGTGGTGACGTATAGAACCGCCGAATCGTTTTTTAAAATGAACTGTTCGGGAAAAAATCGATTCGGTCTGCCAAACCGGAATTGCCATCACTAATTCTGCTTTCCTAGCTGTTCTCGTGCAACGATGTAACGTGAAAAATGTGATGAGTTATATTTGTTCATTTGTTATATTAGAATTAGGCTACACAATACTCACTCATGCGTCGTGTAACATGACTGGTAATTGGGATTATAGTAAGTAATTTCAAATCCACGTGCCACTGTGGCCCTGCACCCATCAATGAAGGCGCTGAAGGAGCAGTTGTCTTTTTGTCTACACAACAAACGTTCACCTTATGTTACCATATAGTTCCCTTTTGCTTATTTTTAGGGAAGTAAATAATAACGTTCTAATAACGTTTTTTGTAACCATAAGTAACAAAAACTAGAAATGACCCAATAAATTAGCCATTAATTAATTACTCAATAAATTAAATTTCATTTAAGAGCCGTTGTTCACTGACGAGCTGCGCAAAAAATTGCGCGAATATGAACGTGGTTTTGCGCAGCTCGTCAGTACCACTAAGGTCAAGATGTGTGGTCCTGTTTCTAGTCTGCTGTTCTTGTTCTGCTTGTGAGGAACTGGTATTAATGTCTGTGTGTTTAGAATATCTGAATGATGTAAAGGGGTTTGCGTATGTGTGGTGATTCTACTGTAAGACACTTCAGTTTCTCCTAAATTGGAAACCCACTCCCATCTCCACGCTCAGTTCTCTAATACATCACTACATATTTGAGTGATTTATTACAGCATTCAACAGAATGGTATTTTAAAACACATGAGACTTTTTTTTCCAGTAATGACAACAAACCAGCCTTTAGAGTTGAATCAGAATCACAGGTTTATCAGTTTCTTTATAGACGCATATCATAATGAGGTTGCCTGAAACAGGCTTTTCAGCAAAATTTACACCATAAAAAATGTATGATGTATGAACGAAACAATTCATGAAACTGCAAAAAATGTAAAATATCAAATCACATGTTTGCCAACAAATATTGTGATTTAATTCAGACTTAACTAAAATCATTAAAAAAAGTTACTTGAAATGAAATAAAAAAGTATATGTCAGACTCTGTTCCGTGTTTTGTGTGTGGTTTGCTTCCTATGTTTCCTTTTGCCCTTATTTGGTCTTCCTGTTCCGTTTCCCTGATTAGGTGTATTTGTCCCAGCTGTTTCCAATGTTCATTATGTCATTGATTTCAGGTGTTCCTCATTGTGTCCCTCCTCTAGTCCTGTATTTAATGGTTTCCTGTTTTGAGTTCGCCGTCCGGTATTGAATGTCTGTTTATGTCAACCTCATCAGCTACATGTGTTTTCCTGGTTCCCTTGTGTTGGATTATATTATTAAAATCTCCTTGTTAATGTTCTCCACGTCTCCTCGTTCCTCACTCCACGCTCCAGCACAGTAGCAAACGTGACAGTATAACTGTTAAAAAAATAACTTATATTTTATATCAGCAGTTGCCAAGGCAACATTTTTCATTTTCTTTTAGTTTCCCTAAAATATCTAAAACTAAAATAAACATGAATAAAAACTATATAGCCATATTTTTAAATACTAATAAAATAACAAAAACACACAAAAAAATGACTAAAATTAAATGAAAAAGGAAAATATACCTTTACTAAAATATTAAATAAAAACTAATTCAAAATATGAATAAAAACCATAATAGCATCTCAATGATAATAAAACAACACTGTGTAATTGTAGAACAATTATTAAAAAATAAATAAAAATGGTCTTAAAAACATGGTAGGCTGGGACCTTTGTCTTGGACTTTAAAAGTATACTCTAGAAATAGAAATAAAACAAATAAATAAATGCATTTTTTCAAAGTGGACTTTCATGTTACACTTTAGGTCAAAGGCTGCAACTGAATGTGGTCACATGGCAATCCAAGCAAAGCTAGTTGTTGCTGTCTTGTTATTACAGTCTGTTAACCCATATTTTCCTGTGCCAGAGGCGAAACCTGGAGTACAGAGAAACCGATTGGCTGCTTCTGTAGGTCATTAATTCCACTTGGTTACACCTACAGTATGCACAGATACGTTTACAGCTAAATGATGAGACAAGCCCCTTGAGATATGGGACACTTAGTCTGCATGCTGCATGCATGCTTCTAAGACCACAACATATAGAACACACATGCAGTAAATGATACAGCTGTAAATCATCTATCCATCCATTCATCCAACCAAACAGGTTCAGGTCAGGCGATACAGTAGCATATTGTGTAAGGACTCTGCATAGTTTTTGTAGCTGATAGTTTAACATGGTTACCTGCTTTGCATGCATGACTTTATATTTGCATGCGTCTTCCTCTGTGGTCAATGCATGAATTAAACGGTTTCCCTATCTACGCAGGATGGAGTAAGATCAGCTGTCGCTACTGGGCCAGAGACTTCCCTTGTCTGATTCCATCACATCACTAGATCTGGATTGCATTCCACAAGGCCATGCAGCAAAACCCTGGTAATGCAAGTCTCAGTGGAAGATAGAAAGATGATCTTTTATATACAGGCATGTATTTGAGTGCAGGTATTATTTAGATTACTTCCTTATTCAATGGGAAAAACTCCAACTGAGAAAATCGCCTACAAAGCTAGTTCGCTTTAACTGTTATCTCCTAACTGATATTGAGTTTTGTATTGTGCCTCGGCATAGGCTGTTTTTTATAGCTTTCCAGCGAGTGATAGTGCAGGATAACAGCAATGCAGGGCTCTGATTGGTTGGCCTGTTTTTCCATAATTCGAGAGAGTTGAACATGTTGTAGGAAGCTTTATTCGCTGGTGGAAACATGCTTGCACTTTCAGTTTTCAGGTTTGTGATTAACATATTCTTTATTTGTTCTATCATCTATCTATCTATATATCATCTGTCTGTCATCTGACTGTATGTCTATAGATGCTTTGGATAAAATTAATACATGTAATTAATGAATAAATTTTATATATATGTGTGTGTGTGTGTGTGTGTGTGTGTGTGTGTGTGTGTGACTGTCAATTTATTTAAAAAGCACGATATGTAAATTAGAATTGTAAATCAAACTAAGATTGTTGGAGTAAATCTTTCTACCTAAAAATTTCAAGTTTTATTTAACAGATTATGCTGTTTCTTTTTTAATTGTTTGTGAAAGTCACTAGCAATTGTTTCAAAGTAAATCCTACACTATTTTTAGTGTACTTAAACTATTTAAAACAAATTTGATACAAATGTGCTCCTACTTGTTCCTGTAGCTCACACAGGAGAAAAAGTGCTTGCAATATAAAAGTCATGGGCTTGATTCCCAAGGAATGCACGAATGAAGTGATAAAACATGTACCTTGAATACAATGTTTTTGGATAAATGTGTCTGCCAAATGCATAAATGAAAAACCAAATTTTTTGGTTACATATAAACACATCTGAGATTAACCATTCGCACCCAGCACCTAAATCAGCATTATGCAATTTTTAAAAATAGATGTTTGTGTGAATGCTTTACAGATAATGCTTCCTTCCCAGAAATCCTAAACAAGAGTGAAAGTGCCGTTCTCGTGGTCTTGCTTTGTTATCTTGTTCTTTTTTCTGTGTAATTCATATCACACCATATGACCATCCAGCGCAGTACAAAGAAAAGGGAAGGAACCTGCACTCCACAACAAACGCGTGTTCCCACCCTGAGTCTCTAAGCTCTCACTGATGTTATCCTTCCCTTCGTTTGATCACACATTTAAAATTAGAAATGAAAGAGTTCATAGAACACAAGAACAAATAATTAGGCTTTTTTATTAATCTCATTGTAACAAAGCATGAACCAAAGCTCTTTTGAAGACAGAGCTGAGAAATGATTCGCTCACACAGCCTCAGCTGCACCACCAATACTCTTAACGCTATAGTAACTCCACAGCTTTTAAACCATGTGTTCATTATTCATAGATGCATGCTAATGAGTCAGAAATTAAAACCAGGGATTGCAACTGCATAGACCCAGTTCCTCAGTTTTTTGACAATACTGGTTTGGAGATATTCATTTTTCTTTTGCTGTTTGTTCATTGTCCTGTTCTCTTTAAGATTTCTTAACTGACTGAAAGAAAACTGTGATCACACTCGGCATATTGGTTTATATAATGTAATGTGGGGTTTGGTGTTTGGGTTTTGTTTCATGTTCATGGTTTCCATGTCTTTTATTTTGTAATTGTTTCATGCTGTCAGTATCATGCTTCCCTTGCCGTCATGTATCTCTGCCTTGTGTATGTGTCATGTTCTGATTGGTAGTCTTAGTCATGTGTCTTGTTCCACATTGGTTTGTTCATGTCATGTGACCCTCCTTGT